GCACCAATGCACCAGCACGTCCTGCATTTGTGCACAGTTCACATCAGGGTTTGTGCTCCCTTCTTGTGATAGATGTAATTGTGTCTGACACAGTGAGTCAAAGAGCAGATCCAACGACTGATGGATCAGAGCCTGCTCAGTCTGGACTCTGTGCAGCACTTTATGTTGCAGTGCTTTAGAAATAAAGCTGCGATCTTCTACAGCTTCATCACAAATGCAACAAATTACTGAGATTTTCTGGGAGACGCAGAACAAAACTTTCAGAAAGGTGACAAATAAACGAGATTAGATCCAGAAAGCCATCAAAACCCTCTCCGCCTGTGACTCTGAACACCGCGCTTCCTCATTGGCTGATCACCAACACTCTGTCAGAGCTGTTCGAGTGGCTTCTATTCTTGTGTCTCTGGAGAATATGTGGGAGGATAATGTGGATATTACAAAGGCTGATAATCGGAAACAACAGAGATCAAGTCTTAGAGCGGGGTGTCAACATAAGGCCAGCGCCCCAGAGCCAACCCACCAAAGAACGTCCAGCTGGTCCTCGTGGAGACGGGCAGAAATGTGAGACTTCAGCTTCTACTGACAATGACTCCCTCTGACCAATCACACAGCACCAAAGTAAAGCAGTAATAGTTCCTGCTTTATAAATGCACACATTTGGTTTTAACTGTGGGTTTACAGTGAAACACAAACAGGACAGACTCTGTCTGGACAAAGAACGTTTCCTGTTATGTGACTCTTATTTCTCACAGTTTAAGCCTCTCACTGACCACAGCAGCGCTGCTTCATCATCACACTCCTTTTTCTTACAGTCAAGCATCTCAGGATGTTAAATCTTTACACTGACAGAAAGCCTCCACAGTGTAAGATGACTGCGCTGGCTTTATGTGAACAGAAAACATGGTCACAGTGCAGGCATGTGTAACCCAGGACTCTTTCCTACACATCGACCTCCACAGCATGTGTGTGTTTGCACAGACCATCATGTGCAGGAATCGAATCACACGAGTGCACACACACAAAAACGTGGCTGTTTCTACAGCTCCCGCTCGCTCGTTTGTTTCGGCTGCATTTGCTCTTCTTTGTGTTTCTGCAGTCAACTGTGGCAGCTGCCTGGCAACAGCCAATCAGAGTGCGGGGCGAGGGCAGCCGACAGATGCAAAACGTCAGCTTACTGCTGCAGGTAAGCAAACCTCAGACACACCCGCTTCATTTGATTGACAAATTAGAGCTTCGGGAGCGAGCCACAGGAGAGCAGCATTAGAGAGACCGCTGTGGAGGCATTAGTGCCATTACCCACGATGAGACGCCACAATGTGCTCAGCAGCTCCACGTAAAGCATTTGACCTGGTTACAGATGCAGAGCTGATGTGAGGCCGTCGTTCCTGGAAGGACCATTCAAATTATAGCCTCACACTGAATTTCCTGAACAGTTGAACTTAGCACAACAATCATTACCCAACAACACTTTTGACACTAAGCAGACGCTGCTCTTTAAAGAAACAGGCGCGCAGCCATTGCTGGTTCCTTGCATTTTAGAGAAATGTTCCA